ATCTCCAGGACTGCTCGAGGCTTAATTCCGTGCATGCTGTTCACTCACATCCGCTGTAGCTCCTCTCCCTCCCTCTCTCTCCCTCTCTTAGAACTCGGATGAGAAGAGCTTGAACAGCCGGTAGAAGCCGCCAAACACCGCCGCGGCAAAGATAAAGGGGGCTAACACGCCAAGCAGCGCCCCGAGGCTCACGTCATCATTCCTCTCGAACGGCGTGGCGTCGGCAAGGACAGCGGCGGGAAAGATGGCACTCGGAGGTGGTGTGGGGTGAAGAGGGGCGCGCTGCAGACGCGGGGTGAATGCAAACGCGGTGGCGCCAGAGTTGGGTGCAGTTGTCACGATCGGCGCGCTGCTGTGCGGCGCCAGCAGGCCGAGGACGAGAGCGAGTGGGAGAATCATCCTCCGGCACGTAGACAGCGGAGACGAGCAGATACACTTGGCTCTTCCGCGCCACGCCGACGACAGAGGCGATTTAGCAGCGAGACGCAACGCCGAGTATTTTTTCTCGACCGCCAACTCCGGGTTACCTTTTTAGTACGATCGCACTAGATCGTAGTCGTTGTCGTTGTCACGCGCTTGCGGGCGAGGCCGAGGGAGTACTCACCGGTTCGCCGGGTCATTGTATCGTGTCGGGGCGCGAGGGCCAGTGTCGTGTCGGGTGCCGCGGGGGCTGGCTCGAGGGCCACGTCGCCGCCCGGCCGGCGGGCTTCCGCCGGCCGAGGGGGGGTGGGTGCCGCTGGCTGGGCCGGGCCGGGTGCCGCAGGCCACGTTCTCGCCCCGCATGCCCAGTGGCTACTATTCCGACTCCTCGGACGATGAGGAGGAGCCGACGGTGATGCTCGGCTTCGCCGCGGACGTGAGCGAGCCCTCCTTGCTTGCCCGCAACCACTTCCCCTCCAAGCTCGGCGGCGCTCCTGCGTGGCTCGACCCCGTCAACCTTCCGACCGAGAGGCAGCTCCGGTGTGGCGCAAGCGGCGAGCCGCTGCGCTTCGTGGCGCAGGTGTACGCCGCCGCGTCGGACGAGCCGCACGCCTTCCACCGCTCCATCCTCCTCTTCCTCTCGCCGCACGGCCCGTCGCTCTCGCGGCCCGGCGCCGTCCGTGCCTTTCGCTGCCAGCTGCCGCGAGACAACAGCCACTA